ACAACACATGAATTGACTTTCTTCTTAGAAGCATTAACTAAAGCCTTAAACCGAAGTTAGACTGACTCTACATTAAACACTCGGTGTTCTAAGTTTCTGTTTCAGTTTGGGATGTTCCTCTGAAGTTAATTAGTCTTATGAATCAAATTGGTGGCTTTTGACTGCAGTCTTTGCTACGGAAGAAAAGTACAACGAGGCCCTCTATAGCAGTGCCAAACGGCTAGTTGCTGCAATTGATGGCCTTCCAGATCCTGGAGGGCCCAAATTTAAGGACAACAAACGAGAGTCTAATTTCAAAACCAAGGAAGAGACAGAAGAGAAACGAGGACAATTCAGTCTTGTCGTTGGAGGTCTGTTGGTGATTGCTTTTGTTGTTCCCATGGCACAATACTATGCTTATGTCTCCAAGAAATGATACTTGTACTGTTAGACCTTCATTTTGGATCAATTCTTCTAGATTATGAAGGGAAAGTATAACACATGTACAAATTGATCATGTTGAAATTGTTGATAAGAGACTTGCAATCAAGTGACAAGTACAAAATTTTGATTTGTATTTATGAAACCTGTATTTGAAATCGTGTAGTCGTGAATATTTTCCATATGCCATTATCATCTTAGTGCTATCCTAATAGATCTCATAGTAAAACAGAACTGAATTGTAACACCTACTTAAATTTTCTCTTTGATTTCCTTCCAAACAATAGCTAACTAGAGCTTGGTAAGCTTTTTAACAAATGAGACTAACTGATCTTAGTGCCAACAGATGGACACTAAAGCTGCCGCATTTTTTCTGCAGTTCCTATGTTCTGCAGATCTGGTTCTGGGTCAAAAACAATAACTCGATCTGGTTCTGGGTTCATAAAACCATAGAATTTTATGGAGCATTCTATTGATATATCTTTTCTGAGCTTATCATGAAGAGAAAAATCTCATTAGAGGGTCCAATCCTAATATTCTAATGAACAAACAAGGTGTGACATGTTTGCTTGTCTTTAGTCGAAAACTATAAATCATTGAGTCACAAATTGTATCATTTGACAAGACCTCCCTCTTATTAGTGGCTTGAAATCAATACCATAAGCCAACAAATGAAGAGAGATGTTAATTATATAATTACAATAATGAAGATTCTGTCCTCAAAACTTGATGGGTAGGAGGAAAGGCATTTTATCAGCGAAAGGAGGATCAGAATACTTCCCGGTTAGTATCTGTGACGAAACGTATTGATTTGCAGCCTCAGTATAATGAATTCCATCCCAGTTTACATATTCGGTACTATCATTGCACGCAGTGGCTGTGACTGAAGAACCATCCAAGACTTTCGTTTGCCCACAAGCAATCCTACTGTCGTAGTTTAGTGGTGGACCTCCAACCCCACAGCATGCCGTTATAGGTTGCTCAAAACCTGCAAATCAAGATTTTATTCAGCTAAAAGATATTACAATTGAAATACAGTGTTGGGATTCATAACTGAAATTTAATCAAGAGGGATCATACCGTATCGAGAGTAATTAGCAATAAGGTTGGACTTTATTGAGAAGATATCCACATAGGTGACATTAGAACCTGCAAATGAACTCTGCAACTTTTTGCAGAGAGCATGAAGCTGAAGATTAAAAAATCTAGCAGCCTGGTTATGTGCGCTGACACATCCTAGCTCATCAAGCTTCAATGGATCTGTTCCGAACTTGGCAACATTCTGAGCCAGGCATCCAAGAGGCCCAGTATTATGTACCCAAAAATTTCTTGCACCTTGGTCATATAGTCTCTGGACAAAAAAACAAAACAAAATCAAAGAGTTCAAATCTTTACTATTTTCATATGATCAAAAAGAGAATGCAAGCAAATCAAAGTAGAACAATTTTGACCCTTTTCAAATCCAACCGAGCTCACCTTTAGTCCAGTTTCAAATTCCTCTAAAATTTTTGGAATAGATGCCAGAACTTGGTCTAATGTTTTAGAGTAAAACGCACCAGCAAGATCATTCTGACCAATATCAAACATGTAGAGACCCTTTTCGAAATAGTCTTGCAGTGGCAGGTACTTTTCATACTTCCTGCCTGCCACAAAATTAAAATAAGTGGGTGCTGGTTAAAATTTCTTATCAGTATTTTCAGGCAATAATCCTTCTGAAAATTCACCAGATTGAAAATTTTCACGGTATGCACACCTTTTGCTAGCAAATCAAGAGCCCTAACTTTGAATCTGAGGAACTGGGAAACCTGGATCCCAAATGAAAATGGACTGAGATCTGAAGCAGTTGCTGGAAGAATCTTTGATGCTGCAGCCGCAAAGTTGCACCCTTTGCGAAAATTCGGTAAGCCAAGTGAATCCAGATAGGCATTCAAGAATGGCAAATCCATTGCATCCACTGCAACATTATATACTCAAACAAATGTAAATATATCCAACAGAACCAAAAATTAGCCATCATAGAAAAGGATGCAAGGATTGAAGAGAGAAAAAAAAAAAGAACACCTTGATGAAAACAGGGGAAACAGAGGAATAATGAGAAAAACAGTATGGATGACAACAGGGGAAACAGACAATATGCAGAGACTATAGCCATAAAAACCTAATGGGCAAAAAACAGAGAACTTTATATGGACGATTATTTTCAGATTCTGGAGGGTAAATTACTGAGAAAATCAACAATGAGACGGCCATCACAGTATCTCCCAGATGGTGTTTGGAAGTAAGATTGCCCATTAGGAGGATTAAGGCTTTCAATCCCAGCAGAAATGAGCTCTCCAGTATCAGAATTCGAGTCTCCGAAGTTGAAAACCACAGGATAATTGAAGTGAATGGCACTTGTTAGAGTCAAGAAGATGGAGATCAAAGTGAACCAGATATACAGAAGGCAGGTCCTTGTAGCCATAAGAGCCAGAGCAATCTTCTCTGGTAGCTTTCACGTATTAGTTAAAAACTAGATATACATACATACATATATATATATATATATATATATAAACGTATTGTAACTTTCCATTAGTAGACCAAGGGTTGGTGGTGGTTTGCAATAAAAGTCATCTTCTTTTATTGGCAACCCGACAGGAGATTGGAAGCAATTAGTTTTGTTTTGCAGGTTGGTGTACCATACTTTTTCTTATTGCCATTCTGTTCCACAAAAACTTCATTAATTACACTAAGGAAATGCCTGAAAACCCAACTTGTCTTTTTTTCCCTTCTCAATTCTCTAATGAACTACTGATTGAACATGACATTTTCAACACTGTAAAAACACAAATTTAGTTAGAAGAATACTTAAGAGATCAACGAGGAGGCGGCCATCGCAGAACCTTCCTGATGGAGTCTTGAAGTAAATCATACCATAAGGAGGATCAAGGTGATCACCCATTCCAGCAATAAGTTCACCTGTGTCAGAATTTGAATCACCAAAGTTGAAAACAGAAGGGTAATTGAATTCAATGGGGTAGGAAAGAGGTAAGAGAATTGAAGTTAAGGTGAGGATTTGTAGGGTCAATTTCATGGTTTAAACGTTTTTCTGTTTCTTTCTTTCTTTGTTGAAGTTAAAGTTTTGATTGGCTCTGCCAATAAATCAAATTCAATGCAGCTTTATAAACATGTGATGAAGAGGGAAAGTTGAATTGTTTCTGAAACCTTTGATGTTTAGAGTGAGGGTTTACTTTAGATTATGGAAAGAGCCAAGATTTATGGCCAAAAGCAATGCCTTTACACCCCCTCTTTTTTGTTGTCTCTCAAGTGAGAATGAAGCTGTAACTGTGAAGAAATGATACTAAACAAATACTAAAAGACAAGACATTAACAAACCTAATCAAAGCCTGAAAGCACCAAACAGTTCATATTTCGAGTGGCTAAGGTATGTTCCCGGCACGGTTCAAATACCATATGATACAATAAGTGAAATTTATCACATTTTTCTAGAGTCTGAATGTACGAAATACTAAATTTTCTATTAAATAAAAAAAATAAAGCAAAAAAATTCGAATAAATTAATATTCCAAGACAAAAGAAAAATAAGAAGAGGCTTGAGACACTGGGCACCATTCTGCAAGCAAGATGTTCGAGTATCCCTTCCACGGGTGGCATTTTGGAAACTTAACTTTTTTGTTTTATCCAGTCTCCTACTCCACATTTTCTTGGTTACTTAAGTCTGTGGAGGAACAATAATAAAGAATTTCCAATGTAATATTTTTCTAGTGGGCACAATCGGTTTCTTTCCCCAGTCAAATGTTAATTTAACTCTAATTGTAATAAAAAAAAAATTTGAACGATATCTCAGTGTTATCGTAAAGCAAGAGAACTTTATATAGATTTTTATATAAATAAATAATTTGTATTAAAAAAAAATTCTATATATTCTTCATCGTTTTTTTAACTTCTCGAGTATTATTGACAAATAATTTTATTATTTTAAAAAAATTCTTATATATTTTTCATCACTTAACTTCACGTATCAAAAAAATTCAAGCATGTTATCAAATACTAAATGCAGATAAGACTCAAGATCTTCAATCCAAATTCAAAGGGATACTACGAGAGTCGAAGTGCACCAAGGCAACACGTGGCGCAACAATCTCTGATTCTTTTTATCTATTGCTCATATAATAATTGTATGGAAGAGTCGGCCGGGAATACATATGATGATCATTTTCAATATATTCAACTTAAAATAGTATACAGAAAGAATTGCAGGTAAATAGAAAAGAAGTAAAGATCCAATGCTCATGATTTTCCATGTGACAAGAAACAAGCTTCTTCGATTTTAATGTAGGTTAATATTTTTTCAAACGAATTACATGTTTCACTTTACCTCTTGTAATCAAACTACCTATATGGATTAAGAAAACTTCCCATTACAATGCCTTTTTCCCAGATTATGAAAAGCATCATCACTCGGGCAAGTCCACACCATAAGGCCTCCACATAACTGCCCCAAAAAAGCATGCCCTTTTTTGTTTGTTAACAAAAAGCATGCACAATTATTATTTTTTGGGAAAAGATCACGTATAATAGAAGATATACTCATGTATATGATAGCATCCACATTTTCTTTTTCTGTTTTTTGTTTTTCCTGTCCTTTTTCAAACTGAGTCCAAGAACTTGCTTGACAATTTCGTCACGATACAATAATTTTTGTTCACGTGAAAATAAGAGTAGGATTTACCTCTCTTTCTTGGCATGCAAACGAATGCAGAAAAGCAGATACCTATGCTGTTTCAATTTTTGACACCACAATTCACTCAAATCATCTCCTTGAATCCTCCATTGGATATGCTTCCTATAAGCATGGTAGGAATTATTATGTCCCAATGTCGGTAACAAACACTATTCATTTCTGCATCTTGGCGCGGTTGAATGGCGCAAATCGCCAAACAGAAGAACCAACAAATTCTGACATCTTATAAAGAAGGCTTCGTCCTTCTCTACTCTTTTTGTAGAGTGCATAAAATCTTTCAGAAGCGGCTACTCTTCCCTTGAGAACCTCGTTTTCACCCTTAAGCTGAAAAGACACAACAACCACTATCACTAAAAATATCCGTATAATGAAGTATTCAGCTTCTCTTGGGTTCTGGAATAAAGAGATTGCATTAATGTATCTCCAGGGAAGGACTTGAAACACGACTGGAAAAGAAGCATGGTGAGAAACTCGTAGCAATTCCACATCTAAATTGAACAAGCGAAAAAAGCAAAAAAGCAGCCAAAAATACACGTGAAGTAGTGAAGACACCATGCCATGGATGATTAATCAAATCATTTCCCTACTACCTGCTCAATTCTAAATAGGAGATATTCCAGAGTTTGCTGCAATGAGGAAATTGTTTGTGAAATAACATCTTCATAAACTGATTCCAAGTCTTCAACTGATTCATCACCAAGGGGAAGTCCCTCCATTATGAATAATTCCTCAAGTAACTTCACATCTTCAGTATTCAGTCTCTCCTTCAACTACATGGATGGATGCTTCTTAGATATTACAAAAAATATATGTATCAGTTAATATGCAATTATATATTACACAAGAGCTTTAACCTTTTCTAGAACTCTGTCACATTTCTCATCTTTGCTTTTGGTTACTAGTGTATGTTTCTTGGTGAATTTATCTTCACTGACGAATGGTGATGCCTTTATATGCTTTGCCCTGACAAAGGGCAAACCAGAAAATGGGGCAGAAATCAGAGCCACCCAAAATGAAAACTATCATATCAAAATCTTCGAAGATATAAATTCAGGAAACATCATCTGGACTGACTCAAACTGATTTTATGAAAAGAGACCCTACCAACACATATTCAAATAACAAATTTTATGCAGTTACTCTTTGTTTTTAAACAGTAAGAAAGAATGTAGTGGGCTTTATAGGTGCTTAAACTTTGGAAATTCCTCTTTTACTTCTAACAAAATAAAATTAAATCACCTTTCAAACGGTGGGATGGTGTTCTGTATGAAGTCAGGATTCACATACCTTGTGCCAAAGCGGAGAGTAGATAGGCTCTCTGATGCATTTGAATAGCTTGGTGAGCAACAACACAATAATGCAGTTCGAGAGGTCCCTCCCTATATCATCTGAATCAGTTTTCCTAATAAAACATTTACTTGTTAAAAAGTTAATGAGACTCAAGAAGTAGAAACCAACAAGAGCATCTTGTAGAATCCGAGTAAGCTTGGAATCACGGAACGGAATGTGGTTTGCTTTGCCAACACTTGTCAGAGCATTGATTACATTTCCTAAAGCTGAGAGGGACTTATTGATTGTCTTAGCTTCTTCAAGAACTTTTCCTTCAGCTCCTGTTTTCTCTACTTTCTCAGACCCAGCCAGGTCCACAAGAATTAGTTTACCATTTTTCACCCTGTTCAGCCATCATACTTTGAATGTTCAAGACTATCTTTTCAAAAAAAAATTTAAAAAAAAAAATCAACCGCTACAAGGAAGAAATATTACCTCTTATCTCTGATCAGTTCTTGTTGGACCACAAATATGTATACACAATGACTTCTACTGCTGGCCATATTCATTTCTTATATCTGTTAATGCTTAAAACAGTTTTTAAGAGCTCCAATATGATTCAAAAAGATCTGACTCTTTTATTAGCTCGCTGAGGAATGGCTTTTCTATGTTTAACTAAACTGCAGCAGAAAGAATTAAAAGCAGCAAAGAGAGAAGGATACGGGTCTCTCCAACTGCTCTATTAGCTATACCCCTCTGCAAAAAAGTCTGCATGAGGAAGCTAGATGACATGGTATGCGTATATGGGAAAGATATCGGCCAATTTTTATCTTACAGATAGGTTTTGTAATGCTTCTGCAGGGTCCAATATAGAAATCTGGGAAAGAAAGAAACTCAGAGATTCATGCAATTAGAGAACATAGAATAACAAAAATAAAGAAAAGGAAAAGGGAAACGAGACATCCAACACATGTTATCCTTTGATAAATTAACTTACAAAACAATAACTAGGTTGTGGAAACTGAGGTCACCTCTGTCATTCCAGATAATAATATTCCTTGTGTTCTACTCTCCTTGATCTGTATGTTATCCTTTGATAAATCAAATAGGTCCCTATGAAAAAACACATTGGAATTTAAAATTCAGATCCAAACTATAAGAAGATTTTAGCCTCATTCATGGCTAATCAAGGATTGAAAGGGATAAGAAACCATATTGAGGTACCTGACTTTCTCCATATAAATCTCCACCTAGTGGAGTCAAAAGATTGTTCAGAAATTGCACTAGCAAGTATAATTTTTAGTTGATGCAAATGCAAACCCTGTACTACAATACAAGTTTTATCAATACCATTGAAAACTTCATTGTGTATTTTGTTGTTTCGCTGGAAGATTTAATACATTCAAACAGTCCATCTACTACTCTTGGAAGTAATCCCTTCTTCTTCTCATCCTGTTCTAGAATTCCTGATCCCTAATTAGAATAACAAATAAAGAAATCCAGTTAATCTTTGCCTATCTATATAACATTAAAATTCTTCAAATATGTAGTCTGTTCTTTACATCACCTCCATGCTATATGTCTTCCCGGCTCCTGTCTGTTGTCAAGATGATAAAGTTGGTTAAGATTGAGAATCTGTAAGTTCATTTGAGAAGTCCATGGAACCCAAAAAAAAAGCCATTCATGACTCTGCTAACCATCCTAATTCTAAAGATTCCTTATATAGTGTTTAAAGAGCCAAAACTCTTTCAGTCCTTAGTAAAGTATCCCATCTGAATTTCCTGATAAAAATAGTTTTCAGTGACCAATTGACTCACTTGTCACCTAGTGATGGTTCAAATCATTAGGGGTGAGATTCCTCAGACTTGATCTACTGTATACAAAAAAATTGACTCACTTTTCAGACATGAAATTCTATATGCTGGTTTCTGATTGTGTCAACAACTTCTTTAATAGCAGAACTGGCAACATAATCAATATTATAGGATGCGTATTTGAATCTAGCAAATTGGAGTTAATGTTTCAGATCTTTTGGACGTCAAAGTTCATTCCTCAATTTCTAATTTTGATTCATCAAATAAATATCTTTCTTTGTGCCAGTATGTAGAAATATCAACATGGTAACAAAAGCCAGAATCCTTATGATAATCTAGCCACCACATCCTTAGTGAGGATCATCTAATTCACCACTAAGTTAGGGTTACCTGTCCGTAAGTGATGATTGTGCCATTTAAGGCTTTAACAGCATCTGCTTATCAAAGAAAACATATAGAAATCAGAAACCATGACATGAGAGCAAGTTAGGAAGGCCAAAATAGTAGACATGATCTCAGTGTAAGTCCATAGAAACCTATCTTCTGTTTCTAGCCAGGAAATTGAAAACAAATTAGAGAAATTTACAAGATCTAGAATATATCTCATCTCTTTAGGGTCTGAGAGAAGACTAAGAACACTAAGACATACAAAGATACAGTCTAGGACATATTTTCAGTCGAAGTATATGAAAACCAGACAAATTCTTTAGTCTTTCTTTTCTTTGATTTTCTTAACAAGCAAACAGAAAAGTCCGCAAGCAATCTGAGTCAAAGGCTAACGGTTAAGTCCATGGATTATGATTTATACCTCGAACAATAGGCAGAGCCAGAAATTCATAGACATCAGCTTGCTCGGATTTCTCATAGAACACTCTGTCAAAGTTAAATGTGAAATCTTCTTCCTTCTCATCCTACCACACACACGAATTACTAACACATTGCTAAACTGATTTAACAGATAATTAGGCATCAAATGTAAATAAAATATTAAACATTAAGCATTCTGAAGCAAGAACGGACCTTGAAAATGAAAGATTCAGTGTCGATGCCGTGAATGCAGACACCATCGCCATGATCTCTTCTCTCCTTTGAGCTCAAAGGCCTAAATCGAGCGCAGACCGTTATATTTGACATAGCTTTATCAACAAAACCTCAAATATCCTGAGAAATCAATAAACAAAATTTATTGGCATGTTTAAAACAAGAGTTATAACCAATGGAGTGAACGGAGCTACTCAACGACTCGCGCCAACGAGGAAGATCAAGAACAAACAACATATCTATTGAAATGATATACAGATAAACCTAGATTACATTCAAATAATTCTAAAATTTGAAACGCTGGAATCAACGGAAGAAGCGCGGTTCTTAGCATGAAACTCACGGACCTCAGTTCTTGCACTACAAGTTTCTACTAATGGCGGGCAAGTTAGGAAACAAGCGATAAATGAAATTTAAATATAGGCCAGAGAGTCGGTTGCCTGGCTTCATTATTGGACCTAGCTACGTGGGCCTGACGTGGTGGGTCCGGCCCATTAATGTTTATGGTAGGCCCAATTCAAATGCAGGAGATATTTTTTAAATGTTGTCCAGTCCCGTCCATGACAAGTTAGGCACCGGAGTTGACCCGTTAAATCCAATAGGTCAAGCCCAAATTAGTTATGGGTTTTTAAATTTAAAATTATATTGGGCCAAACCAGAGACGGGCCAAAATTAATTTTATGTAGAATCCAAACCCATTCACCGCTTGAAGCCAGTTCATATTTTGAATGGGTTACCCAAGCGTAGCCGACGATGAATCCACAGAAGTTAACAATGTTGCAGGCTGCCAGCGCTGTAAGACGAAGTTCTTTAAAATTTCAAGTTTAAACCCTTTCGATGATGCAAGAAACCCAGATCTTGCAGGCGCGCAGATGACGGACCCGGCGGCTCCACCGTGCCTCCACTTAGTCTCGGCCTTTCTCGCCATGGAACCCACCGATTCTTTGGTTTCTTTCGCGAGGTAAATTCTTGCGTCCGTTTTTGTTTCTCCCCTGGTTTTATCATCGTTGATATCATTTCGCGTCTTGTAGAAACTGCGGTGGAGGATTGGTTACAGAGGAAGTGCAGAGGTTCATCTGGGAACATTGTATTTGCGAAGCTGTAAGCCAACTTTACTGGGTATATGTGTGTGTGTGAGTGTGCGTGGATAATACGTCAAAAAGCAAAATCGAAATTCATAGTATTTATCTATTCAAATGTGTTTGCGTGCGTGGATAATATGTCAAAAAGCAATTATACTCTTAAAAGAGTTTAAATCGAAAGTTATAGTATTTATCTATTCAAATAGAATGTGTGTTTTCTAATTTTGTCAAGTTTTAAAAGTATTGTCAAGGTGGCAACATGTGACTGCTTTTGTCATTGCTAAGCTATTCTCTTGCAGCATTGTGTTTCTAGATGCCGATTATAGTACTTAAATAGGGAATATAAAGCACTGGAGTGGCATTAGCGGTAGAAAGAATTGGAATTTCTTTCTAGTTTTATGTATTCTTGTTAGTTTTTTATAGCGATTGATACTACATCATCTGCTATGGACATTGTGTTAGACACGAAGTTAATGATAAAGATCTATTCGGATAAAATTTAAAAGTTCAGATTATATTTGAACCAAAAGATACTGTAAGGGTTTATTTGAACCTTTTCTAATAGTATTAGAGCTTTTTGATGTATTTTATATATATATATGTGTGTGTGTGTGTGTGAGTGTGCGTGGATGATACGTCAAAAAGCAATTATACTATTAAAAAAGTTTAAATCGAAATTCATAGTATTTATCTATTCAAATGTGTGTGCGTGCGTGGATAATATGTCAAAAAGCAATTATACTCTTAAAAGAGTTTAAATCGAAAGTTATAGTATTTATCTATTCAAATAGAATGTGTGTTTTCTAGTTTTGTCAAGTTTTAAAAGTATTGTCAAGGTGGCAACATGTGACTGCTTTTGTCATTGCTAAGCTATTCTCTTGCAGCATTGTGTTTCTAGATGCCGATTATAGTACTTAAATAGGGAATATAAAGCACTGGAGCGGCATTAGCGGTAGAAAGAATTGGAATTTCTTTCTAGTTTTATGTATTCTTGTTAGTTTTTTATTGCGATTGATACTACATCATCTGCTATGGACATTGTTTTAGACACGAAGTTAATGATAAAGATCTCTTCGGATAAAATTTAAAAGTTCAGATTATATTTGAACCAAAAGATACTGTAAGGGTTTATTTGAGCCTTTTCTAATAGTATTAGAGCTTTTTGATGTATTATATATATCTATATATATATATATATACATATATATGAGAATTTTTAACTTAGAGACTCTTTGGTTGCTAAGAAATTCCAGGAGGATGTCAAAATTTAAGTGAAAATTTCTATACCACCATTAATCAGTAACTTTCCCTTGAATCATTTAAAGAATTGAAGGAAAAGGAGAATCTTTTAAGTCTAGGTTCCCTTTTTCCTTGAGCTGTTGAGCATTCAATTCTTTCAACTTTGATTTGTGGGTTTACTTCTTTTATACAGTAACTCTGGTAATGTTTATTCATGGAGTATAAAACTTGGGTTCAGTTGTATGATCGCAGCAGGTTGCAAATGTTCATGTATCTTATGTGAAGAATTTTCTGAAGAAGCTTATACATGAAGTCGAGTCAAAGAATGGTGACATGCTGGATCAATTATATGAAAAGTATGCTTACTATATGGTTTCACTGAAGGTAATGTTTATCAAAAAACTTATTGGCTTTCTAATTGAATGATTTTTGTCCTTAAATGTGCTTGGTTTATATTTGACAAGACTTCCTGGTCACTAGGATGACATTTTGACGAAAGGAGGCATCAGAGTCTGCAAGCACATATCGTATCTTTTTCCCGAGGGTAACTATTATTACTCCCATATGTTGGTTTTTTTTAATATTTCAATATTTTCTATCTTCTTGCTTCCAGTTTTATATTTGATTGCTTGTTTCTTCTAGGTTGCTATAAACTTGACAGTTGCCCAAGTTCGAGGAAGCTGACAGTTCAACTCCAATGTTCACTCAACATGCTTGAAGGAGATACAGGGTATGACCATGATTTGTCACTATCAAAATATGTAATGGATGTCTCTGGATTTATGCATTATCCTCTTCATCCAATTATTTTCATGCACATAAGAAATCATGACACTGAGTTCTTTCTCATATACAGCTATTATTCTTACAAAAAATATTAATTCTATTTTTTATGCAAACTTATGCAAGTCATAACAGCTTTGGTTACACAGGTGTTCAGTCTGGCCCTCCAGTCTCTTTCTGTCAGAGTTCATCCTTTCTTTTCCAGATATATTCTGTCATAAATCATGCTTTGAGGTAATTTATCTGGTTTCATATGTGATTCCTCTATTAAAAAGTTTTCAGAACTTCCTCCACATTGATTAGTGACCTATAAATGTGTTGAAACAGCTTCATCTTACTAAATTTCTGAAACAACCATTTAATGACATTTTGACACAAAGCATGACATTGGAATTTATTTGCACTACTTGGACTTTCTTCCCTCCTTTTCTCATAATTAAGATCTTACTCTACATGTATACCTTCCCTTTCCCCTCATTATTATATTCTGGACAGATACTGAAGGCAATACATCAAAGTTCAAAACTTGTTAACTTATATTTTCTTTTATGTTTGAGAAAAGATTAGGTTGGTTCTGGTGTCGGTTTGGTTGGAATCTGTCTTGCGCATGTAAAAGCCTCCAAGGTATGCTTTCCAAACCACATGTATATGCTCTCTGAATTCTCCCAAATATCATAGTCATTTTCTGGACTTATTCTTTTGAAGGTCTAGTTCATCTTATTGATCTTCAAAAATTATGTGACTTATTGAGTAGTATGTTTGTTTCACAGTTTGCTAACTGGATGTCCTAAGTAGTGACTCTTTTTCCATACATCCACTTGAACCCCATGGCAGTCGTTGGCTCACATATTTTGTATCTTATCTGGAAATAGGACTGTGATAGGTGCGGATTTTAGCCAATTAGAAGTTGATTGGTTTTCTGGAATTGGATATATCGCCTTTTTTTACCAATAATCTTCTGCAACAAGCATAGATTAGATCGTTTGGTCACTTTGATGTACTGAAGATCAGTTTTATGATAGTTATAATGTGAACTTAAACAACTTGGCTGTTGCTAGTTGGTACCCGTTGTGGACTTTAAACAACTTGGCTGTTGCTAGTTGGTACCCGTTATGGAAGTTGTCCTGAAGACATTCTTAAATCTGTCATTGGGAATTGGATAAGTTGTGTGTTATCAATCTCTTATTTCCATTGCTCTTGTTCTACCGAATAATGTGTTTGGAACCACTCCCTTTTATCTTTGCAATTTGTAGAACTGTGTATAGTTGTCTATCATTTCTGGCAAAATGTAAGATTTTGATACTCAATGAAAAAGGTCAGCCACGTATGCTTGATATGGTACTCGTGATGCAGGTGATATTAAGTGATGGTGACCATTTGACTTTGACAAATATGAAGCTTAATCTGGAAATGAACAAGATGAGTGGTGAAACTAATTTGCCTGGGAAAGCTATTGAAGACCAAAATAAGGTGAGTTCGTAATGAGTCCATTTGACCAAAATATTTCTTGTTAGCTTGTTAACTATTTCAAGTTATAGTAGACAGCTAAGTCTAACTGCAAATTCTCAGGTGAAGTGCATTTATTTGCCATGGGAATCTGCAACAGAAAATGAGCTACAAAATTTTATGCCTGACATTATGTGAGTATTACTCTTCAATCTGTATTTCTTTTAAATATGGATGAGGAAGGAGCTTGATTCCTCTGCAAGATCGATGGTGCTAACCGTGCTATTTTGATTTAACTGACTCTGCACTGCTATTGATTTATCACTTTGCCTCTGTTACTTCTTTCCACAGCTTGGGTGCAGATGTTATTTATGACCCATCCTGCCTTCCCCATCTCGTTCGAGTACTGGCTACCCTTTTGAATGAAACAAATTCATGTTCCGAGGACTGGAAAGAGACTTGCAAGGGCCCTTTGGTAGATGTTAAATGTTCTGACAATGAAATCAATGGTGCCAATCAAAGCAAAGATCGCCCCATCTGTGATCCCGCCACAAATTGTGGACATACCAGAGGCAGGATTGCTTACATAGCTTCTGTTATTCGCAATA